GAGAGACATTATACATACTTACCTGGGAAAAGAACCCACTGATTCAATGGAGCTTGCTTCTGAATCGATTATAGAATTCAGGTAAGGATGCAATTAAAAACAAACAGCGTTTCAAATGCTAGCATCTTTAAACATTCCCCTTGCCCACCTTTCTCATCAAATAAAGTCTACCAAGAACTTAGATTAACATAGATGGAGCTGTTATTTGAAATTGGAGAATGAATTGTAAAAAGGCAACTGGAACTTGAAGGACTGCTCTGACTACAAGCTCAAGGAACAGAATTTGTTTCTTCTTTATAGGCAAATGTTTGCTCTTAAATATGTGCTCTTTATAGGCTCTATAGTTGGCTCGCCCCTCCTCCTTCGTTTTTTTCACAAGCAACAAGATATAGAGCTTACTCATATAGGTGATGTCCAGGAAGAGTACATGCTGCAGAAATCTGCAGTGATTGGGCTCAATCTGGCCAGTTCATCTCCTAAGTGCCTCACTATTCACCTATGCTACTCAAAAAGCTAACTTAGTATGTACCAACTTTGCCCTTTCAACCCAGGATACACCCAGAAGTCCCAGGGGTTTCATTTTAGCCAACTACATGTCAATCAGTGGTGACATGGGCTAACTGGATTATGTCCAATGTTAGTCTTACTTAGAATGGACCCAATGGAACAAATGGTTCTTATGTCAGAGTAATACTGGATACAACCCACTGAGGGGGTTGCTCTGCTGCCTCTAGCCTGCACCAAGCTGATTGCAAACTGCCCACTCTGTCTCTAAAACCAGATCTGCTTTATCCCAATGATAAGGTATAGCAATGTAAAAGGAGGCATCAGTGTGGCTTCTAAGCCAGCCTTCCTCAAGCTGGTGGCCTTCAGAGGCATCTGGACCGCAACTCCCAGAATTCCCATCCAGCAGGGCCATTGACTGGGAATTCTGGGTGTTGCTGTCCCACTGTCTGGAAAGCACAGGATTGGGGAAGACTCTAAATCATACTTTGGCAGTGCTTAATGTATGAAGCAGAAGGCAGCAGAGGATTTCAAAACTAGCCTAGTAAAAAGCACTTCCACAAAATCTCACTTCCATTCACATACATTACTTTTATGTCACCTGTCTAGGGCTACATCATGAGTCAATTTAAGTGCTGGACCCTAGAAACATTAATTTTAGGGAAAAACCCCTCCCATCATTCCTCATGTTTTGCAAGATGGCTGTTGCTAAGTGTTGCCCTGGAAAAGCTTTTCTCCCACAATACCTTAGTATTACTTTAGCAGCCTGAGAACAGGGATATAAAAGGTTGACTCAGAGGAACACTCTTGATATGCAAAGCTTTATTTGCTCATACAGTAAACACACCACTGAACACTCTAATTCCTATTAAATATCTCTGTCACTCCCTAAGATACAGATGGGACTATAATCTTTCTCCCGAGATCTTCAATCCTTATGAGAATAATGATTGAAGTTTCCACTGCAGCTTAATGATATGGCCAGAGGAAGATGGATAAGATTACAGCTCCCATCTGGCTCAGCTCCCCTGAGCACTTATGTCCAAACCCAGAGTTTTATATCCTTATATCCTAACATGCTGGTCCAAGGCTACTGAGTTGGAATCAGTTTCTGTGCCTGCTCACTGGCTGGAGTCAGGCCAACTCACCCTATACCTTCCTTATGTTCCCTGGATGCTGTGATTCACACGGTTCACTCTTTTACAAAAGAAGCAAAGACTGGGATAGATCAAAGCTTTCTGCAGGCCAGCAGTCTCAAGGGAAAACATTCCCAAACGCTGACCATCCTTGAAATCGACCACACCCTTCCTTTCCCACAGACTCTTTGAAGCATCAAGCTGTTTTTGAGCATGCCGTGTACAGCAAGCAAGCCAAGGAAGCCCATCGGACAAGGTTTTCCTAAGCGACACTTAACAACTACACAGCCATATTCTATAACATAGTAAGGCAAAACAGCCAGGCAACCAGCTTCCAGATTTAAAATCCACAGATTTCCCACAGTGTGCAAAGAACAGTGGTTCCCATCTGGACCTGGAACCAATAAACGAGAATGATTATATATGTAGACAGAGTTCCTTCATGTACTTACCATACTCAGGTCAATTATCCATTTCTGTAAGCTAAGCATGTACCACCCTGCCACAAATCTAATTTGCACGTTAAGTTACATAAGGATGACGGCAATTAGATGGTTGTTTGGCATATTCTGGATTTACAATGGGGGACTCATCCCGAGGGGCAAAATCTAGCCTTCCCAGCCCCCATGTCCCATCAAGACCCTGTACCTTCCCTTCAGCCACTGCCATGTGGTGGTTTCCTGTCTTTTGGGAAATTCTCCCCCAGTTCTAAAATGTTGAAATGCTTCTCCTAAGCCTAACTTATTAATACTTACGAATCTAAGCTAAAGTACATTGCTCTTTTTTATAGACTTGGCTCTGCCTCTTTCGCATTTGGCCTCACCTACCACCAGAATATGTCCTTGAGGAACATCTCTGAAATGCAATTTGGCCCCCAGGCTGCACTGCTGATTTATGCCATAGTCAGATATACAGTAATTAGCAGGCCTTTCTAGTTTTAACTTTGGTTTCCTTGAAGTAGTTTAAGCAATGAGAAGTAGAAATAAGAAATAATAACTAAATAAGAAATAACTAAAATGTATAACCAGCAAAGACAGCCAATGTAATCACTACAAATCAAACCATTTTTTAAAGGCCAGAGAAAACAACAAAAAACGCCAATCTGCAGATAAAAGCCTACCTATTTTTTTTTTTAATCCTGCAGCATACAGCAACATAAGGTCAAGCAGAAATGGCTCAGCCCTGCTTCCTGGGATCTTCCCCTCAGGAAGGCCAGAACCACCAAAAAATGGTGTTGCAAACTGCATCACAGCCAGTTAATCCAGAGGGTATCCAAAGCTCCTAATCAGTGGAACTAGCACAGATGCTTTCCATTTCCAGTTTCCAATGTAGATGGGATGAACATCTCAGCCAAAACCCAGAGTAAATTAATTAGCATCATCTTGGAATGCCATGATTTCGGTGGCCACAATTCAAGCACAGTGTCCAACAAAAGAATGTCAAGAGTAATTCTCCAACACAGCAAGTAATTCTCCAAAACAGTGGGTTTACTGAAAACTTTCTTCAGCACTGGTCATACTGCTTCCACTTTCAAATAGGTTAGCTTCTCTCTTTACCTCAGAGAAATATTTCCCATCCTCTTAATCAACTTAGCCATCCCCTCTTGACAATTAATAAGATGACTCTAGAAGACACATGAAATCAATAAGTTCCCTAGAAATATTGCTTGAGAATATCACATTTGCTCTTACATGTTCAATAAAACAACACACAGGATTTTCTCCCATTCTTAATTGGGCAGGTCAAATACTTTCATATTTTTCCTATATTGCAGGAAAAACTCAGACCACGATCTCTCACTGAACTGGTTTACATGGCATGACAACCCATTGTGGGTAACTAGCCTGGGGGAATTGTTGTGTTGTCTGAAACCAAACATCCAGACTGTCTTCCACAAGATGGCTTAGTTTTGGACAACAAGCCATCCTGATAACCCATGGCTGATTCTAAAGGTTGTTCAACTCACAATTGGGTATTATGTCACCTAACATAGCAAAGCAATGTACTGTGGGTTGTTGGAATACCCTAGTGATTCCAGCTTGGCGAAAGCAGCAAAAAGTCTTGCTGTTTGCAATCGCACCCTGCAGATGCCAAAGACAGACCCTCTGTCAGTGCTCATGTGGCACTGTGGAGCAGTTCTCACTGGTTTTCCCACTGACAAAGAAAGAAAAAACAAAGATAATTGTACATTCCCAGGATCCAAAAAAACTGGCAAACCCAACTTTGCTTTTTTGAGACTTGGGATGTGGGTGGCAATGGAAGTGAATGAAAAGGGGGAATAAATGGAATGAAGAACAAGAAAGATTCAGCTGCAAAGGACAATGATGGCAGCTGGAGGACCAAGGGTTCGGGAAGGGGAGTGAGCCCAAATCATTTGTTCAGTGTGTTTTTCAATGAACACCATGGCTTATTTGCAGGGATGGCTTAGTATGATGCGCTGAGCCATTGTGTTGTACAGAAATAGCCTGTGCTGGTCCTGCTATGGACTATTTCTGCCATGATGTAGACAGTCTGGGTTCCCACAAAGTCCTTAAACCCTAGCACAGAAGAAGCAGTTGCAAATGATGGAGCGTTTAACCCTCTGGATGATTTGGGGATGAGACTTTAAACATCGAATTTGAAATGTGCATGGGGGGGGGGGGAGTTGTTTAACTCATGAAGGTGGAATGCCAACAGACCTGCCAGAAATGCTATATAAATAGAAATGAACAAATAGATAATTAAAGGATACATGACTGTGTAAGGCAAAGCATGCTTCATTTTGCCAGTGTAATGCAGAACAAACAGCAAAAGAATGACATCTGAAACGAAAAATTAGATCATTATGGTATGCTTGGAAAAAAAAAAGAAAGACAAGGGGAGGAGGGGAATGACAAAATACTACCTTGCACAATGATGATAGGATATTCTACATATGTTGGCAGAGGATAATTGTAATAACTCATGTACCGCAGACACACAATGAAGCTGAAAAGGAAAGACATAACTTCAAACAAACCTTAAGCACATTCAAATGAACAAATTCCATTTTTCATTTTAAAGGGTCCGTTCAGATACAGCAGCCTTCATCTGATAAACCATGAACTGTCTGTGTCCCTGCTGGCTCCTCCTCCATCCTATCTATTCCCTTATGGACCTAAGATTTCCTAGCGTCTTAAACCACAGCAGCTTATCATGCCATACAGACTGAGAAATTTAGTTTTGAGGGCGCCTTTAAATTACAGATATGAAACTAGGATCAGTTAGTCTTCAATATGTTGGAAGGGTGGGGTGCTATTCATAAGAAAAAAAAGACAGGAAGGGGAGTTGGAGGACTGAAAAGCAGAAAGCCAAGTGGGTGGGTATGGGGATAATAGGCCTTAAGGCTGCTGAACCCTTGAGAATTGGGCATTGGTGATTTTTATTATTATTGCTGCATTTCTTGAAAGAAATTTAAAATGTAACGTGAAAAGGCTTATTTAAGAAAACTCTTATATTAAGCATGCCAAAAGGCCTACCCAAAACAGCTGTTTTCTGAACCTAAGTTTGCTCTTGGCCTATTATTGGCAGGCAGCTTATCAAGTCAGAGAAAAGAATATTTCTTGTACCACCCAGCCAGGACTAAACCACAGACATCAGGTTGGAAAATGCCTATCGAACTGCAAACAAGATGTGAGCAAATCCAAAACCAGAGGATGTTACTGTGATTATAAAGAAGGGTCTTTTGAGAGGTCAGAATACCTTATGGTAACCAATCAGCAAACTTAGAGCAGTATAGTTTCCATTTATGGCAAAGGGAACAGGAGCTGGCAAAATGCTGAACACAGAACAAAGTCTTGCCCAAAATGCCTTATTCTGCAATAATTCAAGATTCCTAGGTCTTCTTCATCTCCAGGGTTTTGAAGGAAGATCCTACACAGAAAGTGTAGTAAGCTAACTGTATTCTTTTTGCATTTCTGTATTAATATTGGCTGATTCTTAATTATATTTTTTAATTAATCATATAATTATTTCCTACTTCAAGTAGTTGTCTGTATGACTCCATACTTCAAACGCACCAAAGGCAGATCACACCTCTGAAAACCTAATAGACTGTAAGTTAAGGGCATATCTCTAGTAAGCAGAGGATCTTTATCTTCAAATGTTTCTGCCTTTCCTTGTGACCAGGCAACACAAAGAGGGACTGAGAAACAGATGAACTTGAATTTCATGTTTTGAAAGAGTAGTCACTTCCTGCTTCTACGTTACAGCCAACACAAAACACCTGTGCAGTACAAAAACCACAGAATTCTGATGCCTTCACACACTGTGTTCACCAATAACAGGAAAACTCGAGTCTACAGCAAGTCTGCTAAGAAACACTGGGATTTCTGATCCTTTCACCTTTGCTCAGGAAGGCCTGACAGGTGGCACTGAGAAGCTCTCCACAGCGTAATCTGGCCCTTAAGACAAAGGAGTTTCAACACTGCTGGCTTACAATTCATGGGAAGGGAAAAGGCTCACTGCCAAACATGTAAGGTTTAACTGCAACACTTAGCTAGGATTTCAGGTGTCCTGACACCCAAAGCTCCTCTTCTGGTTGGTTTAAGAGAATAAGAATGCCCTGCTGTAAATACATCTGGAAAAGATACTTGCTTCTTGAATCTTACTGATTCTTGCTTCCCAGTCTCCATTATAGTCACATGTGGCACTGCAGCTGCCTGGGGGAAAAGGATTTTGCCTGCCTTGTTCGCTGTGTTAGCTCCTTCACACTACAGGTAACTGGGCAAGGATTTTACAATCTTGCAAAGAGGTCAGGGCAGGTCCAAAAGGAATCCTCATTCAAAAGCCAGGATATCTATCCTTCCTTCAATCAATCATTACTAATATTGGTAACAGGGGCCTCCAAAAATAGCTGCCTGTAGAAGGACCCTATTTTCTCCTTGTTATGGGTGTGTATGGCACAGTTACAGAGGCTTTCCCACTCAAAGGGTAGGGCATGACTTAGCTTTCAGTAATGCAGACTATCCAGCAACATGTGCAAGCAACAATGGAACACCAGTATGTTCAGCAGAACTGGATCAGAGCTCCAAATTTAACATTTGCTCTGGGCAAGGCCCTCCCATTTAATTATTTTTGCTGTGCTTCTGTAAGGGTCATGAGTCAGTAAGGAAAGTTTTCCAAACTCTAGCCTTAAAATATATGGTTAAGAAAGCAATCTAACAAAGATGTCTTTTCAAATATAAAACTAAAAATGGCAAGAATTTAAGTTGGAAGTCACATTGTCTTCCCTTGAGATTTAACCCCCACAATTTTGGATAGGAAAAGGTTCTCTTGATTCAGTGTATTATGAGGATGTGCCATCTCTACATGTTCAATGGCACCACTTATTTGTTCAGCACTAGAAAGAGAACAGGGAGTGAACTCTGGGTCAAACCAAACCTTTTATGTGATTGCTTTTAACTGTGAAATGTTTTATTTTGAAGTAAAGTTGTTTCTTAATTGCAGCCAAAAAGTGAACATTTTTTGTCTTTTTATGCTTTTTACTGCTTTTTATGCTATTTTAAATTAATTTGAATTCTTGTTAATGTTTTTATCTATGTTATTGTTTATATGCTTTGTTGTAAACCGCCTAGAAAGCTTCAGCTATGGGCATGATAGAAATGAAATATAATAACAACATTTGCAATACTTCAAGATCAGTAGAGAAATAAAGAAACCAAATTTATAATCCTGAGTCTATCACCAATATGCTTGAGGAACATCTAGAATAAATATCACCTAAGTAAAAGTCACTATTGAATCAAACAGGAATGGCTCACATTTTTTTCCATTTAGATGGCTCAGCCCTGGAAAACATGAGCCATCCAGTCTGAGGCATATTTAATGCCTCAATCTTGCGCAAGCTCAGTAAGTCCAATGCAAACTTCCCAAAGTAATGCCTTCCAGATGTGCTGGACTACAGCTCCCATCAGCACCAGCCAGCATGGCTGACTGACAGGGCTGAAAGGTACAGTAGCCCAAACCATGGATGGCATCAGGCTGGGGAGGGCTGGATGAGAGGCTACCCGCGAAGTAACCCGCTTTTATATACCATTGTAAGTTCCATAGTGGAGGAAAGGCGGGGAATGGAGTACAATAACAGTTTTAGGGAGTGCTTCTGGGCATGTGCAGAGTGCCTTTTCGTCATCACAGAGGACGCAAAACCGCGGGAGGGGGTGGCGAGGAGTTCACACTCAGGCTTCTTCCACGTCTCCCAAGAGGCTCGCAAGCAGCACAAAAGGAAAAGCAAGCCCGCGGAACCGGCTGCTGGAGGTCTTTCTGCAGATGCGGGGAGAAGGGCCGGGCTGGGGTCCCCTTACCCGCTCAGTTCCAACAGCAAACTCTCCAGGCTGACTCCCCGGGCGGACTTGGCGGCCAGCAAGGCGACTCCCTGGGGCAGCTTGAGCACCAGGCACGCCAAGATCGTGCTCCAGTTGGCCACGTCCACCAGCAGCGCCGCCGGCCCCATCGCGACGCCTCCTCCGCTCGCGAGGCCCCGGCCCCGGCCCCGGCCAGGAAAGGCGCGCAGCACCTCCCGCTCGAGCGATACGCCGGGGAAAACACCCTGTGGGAAGAGAAGCGCCAGGCAATGAGGGCGCGGTGCTCGCTGGCGGCACGTCCTCTGCCACTCGGAGGAGGCGGGCTGTTCGCGCTCGGAGGGCTCAGCCCGTACCGGACCCTCGCCTTCCTCCGTGCTTTCCTCCTGTTTTGATCTGTGTCGTTTAGATGCGAATAGGCATCCTCCCACTTTTTATACCCTTCTTTCCAAAAGGGGGGTTAAAAAAACCCCTGCTCCCCACTACAGCTTTTCTTGGTTTTCTTCTGTTTCTTGGGCAAAGCGAAAAGAAAACCAAACAACTACGGAAACTCAAAAGACTGCCAAGTTCTTGACGCATGGCGCAAGCATTTGCCCTTTGAGGCAGGAAAAAGAAGACTGAGAACTAGCAGCATGCTAGAAACTCAGTTTTTTCTCCTTAAACGTGGATAGGATCGCGCTTTTAATGCCCATTCTCTTAGGCATGAGCTGCACACGACACGCTCGTGAAGCTTCCATTCGTGGGGGAATGCATTTTTTTGAGTGCTCCATGGCCTGCCAAAAATTAATTGGTGATGCCGGCCACTTTCTGGAGCACCACTTGTCAATTGAATTTTGTTATGTATTCCCAGCCAGCTTTTATAAGCAGAGACGTCTTCCGGTTTCAGACAAAAAGATGCTAAGGGCGCTGGGTTACAGTATGGTATTTCGACCTTCAGCAGTTTCAACTACTTTCATAGGTATCCGTGTAGTTTTAATTGGCTTAAAATGTAACCTTTTAACGTTATCAATGTATTTGGAGTATTTTTATGCCACTTCTTAGCCCAAAAAGCTCCCAGAGCAACTTACATATGATCGGTCTCTGCCCACAGATTTATTGTAAGCGGCAAATTTAAGAACAATAAGGGCGCCATCCTGTTATGTTAGGCAGAAAAAAATCCTACAACTCCCAGTATACTCCGCCCAGCATGGCTCGCTAGAGGATGCTGGGTGTTGTAGGACGTTCTGTCTTAACAACAGTAGGATTGCATGCTAAAGCTAATACAGCAAGTTCCCGGTCGCTAGTTTCTCCTTGTCCTTAGCTAGGGTCCAGAGAGATATACTTTACCTTATGGTACAAGGAAGCACTGGCAACTGTTTGAAATAGGAAATGATTTAATGATAATAGAAATAATGGTTCCCTATTTCCTAAAAATAGGACAGAAAATAATTTACACAATTTTCATCCAGCCTTAATATAGAAATAGAAGAAGAATAGAATTAGCTTACTGTACACACAAGTGAGGGATTTCCCTTTCTTCGAACAGAGTTTAAGGGGTCCTTAAAAATCTTGAATGAAGGCAGAATCTGATATCTGAGGTGAGGCTCTGTTTTATATGCTTTTATTTAGCTAGCTTCTGCACATGTTGCCATAAATGGATTTGTAAAAAAAATCCTGATTGGTTATAATAAGGTTGCTCATTCCCCTCAACTTAGGTAACACTCTCATGCTTTAATCTTTGTTGACATCTTGTTTATTGTAGATTTCTAAAGAGAATTCCCAGTTTATTCCTGGTGGTTATCCTGTGGTTCAGACCTGTCTGCAGCTTGAATCTTACTGACTTAAGAGGTATTCACACCAGGGGTTGGTAAGAGGCCTGCCACTGATAGACCAAAAGCAAACTAGTTCAGAAAGCAGCCATTTTAGCTAGGCCTCTTTCATACACCTGACATGACTGTTGCTGTTATGCCTGTTCACACTGCATTTTAACTTTTTCCATTCCAGTTGAAAAAGCAAACGCATGAGGGAAAAGGAATAGAGAAGCATGAGGGGAGAAAAGTCATTCTTCTAGTGGAATTGCTTGAAAGGTCCTGCTCTCCCTTACATTTGTCAGTACAGCTTTCCAGAGTGGCTACTGGTGGTAACTTTTATTATACTGGCTAAAAGCAACCACTAATCTATATATGAAATATATTTGTTTTACTGAAATGGGAGGTACCACAATGCCATCTATGGCTGTAATTTCTTGAATGGGGCACACACATTTCTAGTGTGATGCTCTAGTGTGCTTACTCTCACAAGCCGTGTAATGCCTTTGCATTGTCAATCCTTTAATATCTAAATGGCTATGGTGGAAAGCAATAATTGAAGGGTTCCCCTTGTTGCATATTGTCCGCAGAACAGTTGGGCTACATACTTTGCTTCCGATTCATTTCTAGCTTGCAGTGCTTAAACACACATTAATCACTGAGCTGGATTACTTTAATATGATATGTAAGGTGAAGGCTAGAGTAGCCAGAGCTTTTCTGTGGCATCATTTAATCTTTGTAGTTTAACTGCAGAGTTTCTGCAGTTGTTGACCCAGAAACCTTCCACATGATATATTGAAGCTAAGAGCAATGTCCTCTTCAAATTGCAAGACTTCTTTTTAGTTCAGTCCATTTTCTCATCATAAACTTTATAATGCCTGTTTCCATCAGATGATCTATAATAAACTTACAATAAATAAAAGTTTATCTATAAAACAATTGACATAACAAGGATATTTTTTCTTAAAGCAAGAATGATCTGCAACTCACAGTGCAATAAACATACCATGTCACACTTTTTTTTGAAAAAGAAATTAAATTTTGTATATACTGCATCCTGTTTCATAGCCTAATATTTTAACAGGAAAGAACCTTCTTCATTTGTAGGAGATTTTGAACTGTTTGGAGATGGGGGTAATCCTTAACACTGCAAAAATTCCCCAGATTTGAAGAACAGAAAGAAACTATACTGTTCAGAAGGTTGAGCTGCCTTCTTCAGGAGGAACAGCCATAGGGATCTGCAGGAATTTTCCAGTTTTGGGTGGGGTAAGGCAGTAAACGCAACATTAGTTGTGACAACCACTGTGACAGCCACTATGCATTTTCCATAAGTATGTGCTATGCATGTTGGCTGGGGTTGTAAGACTTTTTTCATTTAAATGTGTAGGATTGCAGCCTTCGAGTTGCATTCCATGACATTTAGCAGCCTATACCAAGTGGCAGAAAATTCTGGAAATTTTAGCACTAATGCAGCAAACTATTAAATTCAAACTTCATGCAAGAGGCATCACATACTCTTACAAAATTTTATTTGGAGTAAGAGATATAAACAAATGCCACCCTAGCAGAATAGTCACAAATGCAAACTTAATTATAATTATTACTATTAATTATTTGATTTCTATACAGCTCCACAGCCAAAGCTCTTTGGGCGGTTTACTAAGTTTAACTCTCTCAGCAGTTTAATAAGCATGTTGCATTGGATATTTTCTAGTATCATAAACTTTAGCATATATCAACAACTTCACATGTTGTGTCTACATGTCCTGGAACGATTGCTTTCATTTTGAAAATGTTTGAACACTCTGTGGTGTGTAGCAGTTGAGCATGTGGGTAATATCTTTCGCAAGGGAAGAGAAAGGGCATGTTTGATCAGATTCGGGTTCTGTAGGAACCTGGACAGCTTACTATATGTTTCATGTATTATCATCATCTCTAAACTGCCCCATAGCTGAAGCTCCCTGGGCATAAAAATAGTACAATAAAATACACCAAAAATGCCATACAATCTTATTAAAAGAAATTTACCAAAAATAAAAACAGCTAAAATACAAACAGTGAGGAATGACCCTGTTAATCAAAGAACCCTTCACATGAGTGAACACAGTTCACCTTTGCGCTTTTTGAATGTTGAACTGCACACTCAATCCTCCAGGAAAGAAATATGTGCCTAACTTGTGTGTGTGTGTGTGGGTGGAGGCTCGGATAAAAGTCGCTTTTAAAAAGATTATTTGTAGCGCAGCTGTTCCTGTAATTGTTCTGGATAATTTCACTTGATGCTCATTTACTGTATCATAAAAATGGCTTGCTCATCGCCAACAGTGATTTGAATCAAAGGTATGCTGGTTCCATTGATTTCGTTGAGTTCCACAGGGGGGAAACTGAGCTCAAATCCTGATCACCTTCTATACTGATACCTTTTATCGAGCAAAACCCGCAGGCACTCATACAAGGATTTTCTAAAATGTTTTGGTACTGCTTTAAATCAGTCTTGACTGCCATCTGGAGGTTGCTTAATATTCAGAGTTCATAGTCTCTGTATTTCTAATTTTATCTAACAATAACAGCATGATCCCGGGAGGCATGTTTGACTTACAATGTTCTGTTTATGGGGAAGGTCTTAGTGTACTTGGACACTGAGCATTAATAGACTCTAAAGTTTGAAACGCTAAACCACAGCAAACAAATAATAGTTTTACTGTTTCTGAATTTTATGTAAGTATATCATTAAAGTATTGGCTCTTTCTTCTTCCCAGAGTCCTATCAGGTGCTCCGTAGAAGACTAGAAATTACTTAACCTCCAGTCAGGGGTGGTTGGATTCTGATAAGGATCAAGGAATGGGTTCATCATAAACAGTGCAGAGCACATGCTCTGCATGCACATAGTTCAATTCCAGGCATCTCCAGGTAAGAGGATCTCAGATCATACTAAGCCTTCTCAGAGCTGCAAAAAGCATTTGCCCAAGATTTTGGGCAATGCTAGACCAGATGGATTAGTAACCTGATCAACATGTGTGCAGCTGGAAAGAGGGCTGTACCACACAGCAGACTGAAAAAAGATAAAGCCTGAAGGTACAGGACAACTTTATTTTAAGTTGGTTTCTAAGTTACCCGATACATTTCTAACATAAATGTTCTTTATCACAGGAAACTATTCAAAATATACCTTGAGATAACAATATATGCACCTTGTTTTTCCAGGGAAAGTTCTTTAGTTCAGCAGCTCTTAATGCCATTCATGAGTACCACTCATGGACAAGCTGTTCTCTCCACATTGGAAATGTATGGAGAATCTGTAAAACAGCCTATTAAAAACCTGATTTGCATCTGTTGGATTGCCTTCAGTTTTGACACAGTCTAAGATTCATTTCTAAAGTGTAAAGGAGGATGCAGGAGATTTAGTAATGCAACAATCACAACAAGACAGGAACCAGTTTGAATGGGATTATTTAAAGTGCCTAAACTCATGAGGGACCCTGATGCCACTTTTCAAATCTGGACCATTACACACTGAAATCCATCAGTGGCTCTAAAAAGTGCTAAATGGATTGCTGCAGAAGTGCCTACTGGTTCGGCAAACAGGCTTAACCAATAGGAAGCCCCTGGGGACTGTTCCACAGTGGAACCAATTAGTTTGGTCATCTGAGAAGACATCGCCACAACTTTCCTCTTGGTACTTAAGAGGAAAGAAGTAGAAATCCCAGACTTGCTTGTTCTGCTTCAGACTTGTGTATGAACAGTACAGAAGTGAATTCATTAGAACAAAGTTGTTACTGATTATCCTTGAACAGACATGAAAAACACAAGGATTTATAAAAGTTAGTGTCTTTTCTTCAAGCTTAAGCACTTTGTTCCAGCACTTAACCCCCAGTGTTGCAGCCCAGATTTTGCTTCAGATATTATCCCCTGCAGTTCTGGTCTGAAACTTCCAGAACAAGAAGATATGATACACCACGAAGGCACACTTGTTTATAACCATCAGCTCTTTGTTGGATAATGTTCTGAGCCATATTGTATAAGAAAGACAATAAACTGAAAATAGTTCACAGAGAAGCTAAAAACATAGGGAAACATGGGCAGTTGCCTGATACTGAAGCAGATTCTTCATCCATCTAGCCCAGTGTTCTTGGCACAAACTGAAAATGACATTCTGGGGTTTCAGCAGGTGTCTGTCTGAGCCCTACCTGGAGATGCCAGGAACTGAACCTGCAGTTGTATCTGCATGCAAAGCGTGTGTCCTATTATGGACCGCCTTGGGATGCTATTTGATGCCGAAATGCGCAGGCACGAGGAGATAAATGGGAGCAATCAGTGCAATCTTCATTTGTGAGAATCCTTCCCCTTTGTTGCATGGCCAGCTTTCTGTGCCCCTAAACCAACTTCTGTTGAATCGCAGCAGATGGCTTGGGTGACATATGGCCACTACATCTGCTGGAATTCCACCGGCTAGTCTCCTTGCCAGCAGCAGTCCCCCAGGAAGTCCTCCTTGCATTCTGTTCTCTGCAATGGCTTATGTGGAACACAAGGTCAAAGCTGAAGCGAGCTGCAACTCTGAAGGAAATAATTTCTCAGGAGAAGTCCTCGTCTGCATAAACAATTACATTTCAGGGTCACTATCATTTTGAATGTTGTTTGGGGCCCAATGAATGAAGTGAATAGAATAATTCACTTGCAATGGTGTGGAGGCAAATAGAAAGTGCTGCAGATGCAGTAAGGCTAGACTTCATTGTAGATCTTAACCTTGTACAGATTATGCGGGTTTTGGGGGAGAGGGTTGCAATGCACTTCCACTCCTTTATACTTTTGAAACTAGAATTTTATAATAGGAAACAGGATGCTGTTTATATTGAGTCAGACAATTGGTTCATCTAGTCCACTATTGTTGTCCGTGATGGTTAGCAGCTCTGCAAAGCGTCTTTCCTAGACCTACCTGGAAATGCCAGAGATTGAACCTAAGACGTCCTGCATGCAAACTGTCTGTTCTGCAGCTAAGCTACAGCCAGGCATTCTGCTTTGATGCCCTGGCCTGTTCAGGTCTGGGTTAAAGGTCAGAAGGGTGAGCAGAGGCCATGCAGTTGCCCATCAGCAGTTAGCACCTAAGTCCAGCCTAAGGAGGCTTTTGGACATTTAGCTAACATGGGGGGAGTTTAGGGCTTTATGGGTTTACCCTGCCACCACTGTAGCCCTACCTCAATGAAGAGGCCCACCTCTGCAAGCCATTGAAATAAATGGATCATGTCCAGGCAATGCAGATTACAGGCATCTTTACATATGACAATGCTCAAATTTTATACTACCTGTGTCCTCTTTTGTTAACTTGCAGCCATCCTAGTGATGATCCCTATTCATGTTTCTAGGTTCATGTTAGCAAGCTTTGATCCAGCTTTAAACGTTCTCAATATCTTATTGGACAGCATTTGAACCATTATCAGCCAGCATTTAGCAGTATGGCATCTGGAGAGAGAGAAAGACATCAGTTTTTCAGCACTGGCCCTGCTGCACGAAGTATTAGAACTCTACTTGGTTTTGAAAGCAAGATTTCTTTTTCATTCTAGGAAGGCTGGAGTTCCTGGTCAAGTTTATTTTTTCTTCTTCCATAGTTGAGGAAGTAATCCATTTTTATCAGGGTTTTGCCAAGATCAGTGTTCATTCTGCTCCCAATAACATGGCTGTTGGTGTTGGGAACTTTCTCTGAGAATACTGACATGTACTCGGGGAGTTGCTCAGGCTCTTTTTTCTTGCCCTGGATGAAAGAAATTACAGGTTACTCATGTCAACCCTGGATCTAAACCCTGGATCTAAGGGGAGAAACTTCTATAGAGATATTGCAGACAATCAATGACATATTATCTAAAATTGGGATAACTGAGCCACTTGCAAGAATAACAGAAAACTACAAGCATGTTGTTTCTGTAATAACAATGGCCCAGCAAGTCCAGGATTTTGATCCAGCAGTGGCCAGCAATATTGGCCCAGGGCAATTTGCTGCCTGAGGCAAAAGGCATGATGTTCCCATTCCGTGTACAGAAAGGTCAGCTGGACTAGTAGAGGCATCTTTTCTTAAAAGTGGCAGTGGGAGAGCCTTCTCCACCACACCTGCAGACAGCAGACCGGCTGGCGATCCCACAGCTTTCTCTTCTAATACTTTGCTGCTATTTTCCAGCACCTACCACCTGAGCTGACTGCCTCACTTTGCCTAGTGGTAGGGCCAGCCCTGGGGCCCAGCTAGTGGCCTTTAGCAGGCTCACAAACATAGTGACAGCTAACCACTGGTGCTTGTCCTTAGCAGGTGGTTGTTAGACATCACGGATAGTATCCATGGTGGTGGAATGCTGTTACTAATGTTGTTACACTTCTGTATCCCAACACTAGCATGTCATCAGCACTTACTAGTGCAAAGAGGAAAGGGGGTGATTTGCCCCCAAATTTTGGTAGTAAATCACTATGTTTTCCCTTTGTACTGAGGAAGCGCTGATGGTAAACAGCAATGCTAGTGCAGTGTCATTGCCACCACTGAATAATACCCATGATGATGCCTCGGAACATGTAGGCACCTGTAAACTGTCATAGCGAATAAGCACATATGAATTTGACACATTATTTTTGGGAGATATTTTGCTTAGTGGCCATCAAAACTCACCCTAATTTGTGGTACTGAATTTAGGACGAGTCTGCATTGTCTGAGAAAGTCTGCAGCCATGAACAAGTAGCTAATTTAATCCTTTAATTACTCAGTAGCAGGTTTCTATGTTTCTATGGACCCTGAACAGTATGGGGAAATAAACTCTGAAATAATCATATCCATTTCAAAAAATATGGGGAAAAAACCTTAGTACTATTAAAAAGGAATGGTTCTAATGGTATAGTTTTATTTAATCAGATTTAAGCTGCAATCTGGTATGTTCCTAGCAACCTGATTGCTAGGAGCAATCTCCATTGAACAGAATAGTAATTAATTTCAAGTAAAAATGCTAAGCATTGCAATGTTACTGTGTTGATGTTGATTTTTCACCAGACTGTTCTAAAATAACTCCAAAAATATTTAGCCGTACATGAGTATTAATTACCCAGTAATGAATCAAAACCCATGCCATCTGTGAATAGCAAAAGTGGCTGGTGCTTGGCACTTCCATCCTCTTAAGTTTATTTGCTTCCAGTTCTTCAATTGTTTATGTGTAGAACATTGGGGCTTGTTCTGGATCAAGAGCACAGTGGAACTTAATACCCCACATATACTCCCTTGGATCCTTAACCAGATCAGCCCCGTGTGCTTGTAATCTCTGTGTGTATGCGTTGCAGGGTGGGGAGAAACCTTGCACTCAAGGGCAGAGCTAGACAGCTAAGATCACGTGTGGTTTGTCTCTTAGCCATTTTAGGTAGCTGATCAGTGTGGGAATAGCTAAGTAATGGAATGCTGGGAAAACATCCTCGCAAAAGTTGCAGTGACAGCTTTCATGAACTTGGGTTGTCCAAATTGCCGCTGTGCCATAGTTTAGGCTGCTGTTATTTCTCTAAATGAGACTTTAGCTCAGGGGTCCTCAAACTTTTTCACCAGGGGGCCGGTTGAAAGGTGCCGGTGCTGGGTGCAGACCAGAAAGGTGGTGCCGGCAGCGTGTGCGGAGCGGCGAGGGGGCGGGGTGCATGGCGAGGCAAGACAAGGCGAGGTGAGACATGGGCGGGCGCACACAGTGAGGGGAGGCAAGGCGGGCACGTGCCACGAGGCGGGCGCACGAGGCGGCGGCTTGCTCGCTTGGAGATCATTTTCTCTGAGTGAGCAAACCGCTGCCTCTCTGTGCGTGCGGGTGTGTGTGTGCGGCAGGCCCAAATGGGCATGGCGGGCCGGATCCGGCCCACAGGACATGGCTTGAGGAATAATGCTTTAGCTAGACCATCAGAACCAGCTATCTTTCCAGTAAGTGTCATGCTTCAATAGTGGAGCTAATGCTTTGCATGCTAAAGGGCAGGTGCTAAGGTGCTACAGCCCTTTGCATCCCTGGTTAGAAGGCTTCCAGCTGGCAGGCCAGGGAAGCACATGCCCTTGAAAGCACTTGTTGCTAGTCAGGCAGCAATACTGAGCTCACTTATCCATCCATGCCATGTTCTAAGGAGTGTCAAATCTGCTTTGAGCACTTCTTCCTTTTTCTGAAGGAGGCTGGTGCTGTACTTTAGAAAAGGGATATTTGCATTCAACCTACCAGTGGATCATAGTCCTTTAGGAAACTCCAGTTCTGGTACCTTTAAAATAAAAACAAAGCACGGTTTAGTTCTGCTGGTGATTCAGGAAGCAGAGCCAATTATCTGTACGTTGTGCAGAGAGATGACCTGAACATAGAAGTACAAATTACACCTGAACTAATATAAACCAGGAATTCTAATAGCCTGAGTTTTGGTATGGGGATGGGGTGGGGGGTAGAGTTGTTGCCATTTTGCTGTTGGCAATACAAGTGGAAATCTGAAACACTTTCTGACCTACTGCAAACCATCCGTCAGCATCCTAGCAAACGTCAGTCCCTCTTGTGGTGCCTTGGACCACATCCAACATTCTCCACATGACTTGGATAGGCTGGTGGTAGTTGAGATCATGCTGTCTTTCAGAGAAGACTTGACTGATCTTTTCCAATGAAGTGCCTCAATAATCTTTCAAGAAACTCTCAGGAGGAGAGTTTAAATGATCATACAGGATCATACAGTTAAATGACCATACAGAATTGGTGTAGAGAACCAGGAGCTACAGCAACAGAGTCGCTGTCCCTTTAACATATTTCATTTGCTATCACATGTTAAGCCTCCATATTCTGCTGGAGGCACCAGTAAAAAAAGATGCTTGCGAGTATTCCCAGTTTCAATGGAACAAATCACACATCGCATTTTTCCAACAGAGATACTTTTCATGTTGGGCAAAATGTACTCCCCAGTGGGCCCCAATAGTTAGTCTCTTCTGGTTTTGCCTACATAGAGATTATCTTCACATAAGAGAAATGCAGCACACAAAGAATCCACAAGAAAACAACAGGAATGCAACAACATGAAAGTAACAGTGACACAGACAGGTCATACACAGACAATTCAGGACTACCCAAGTCAGCTCATGAAGACCCACAAACACAGATGTAGAGTTGTGTTGGTGCTACTAAGTGAAGCATGGTACTCAGTTACTCACCAGTATTTGGTTGCTCTTCTTTCAGCCTCCACAAACTCTCTCCAGACCTTGTCCTGTCGGACCTGATCCTCTTTCAGGGCTCTCTGCTCTTCTCGGGTTTTGCTTGATGACTTCACTGAGCGCTGTGTGGAAGCAAGAGGGGTCCTTCCAGACTGGTTGCTGTGCAGTGAAGGAGATGAACATGAGACTAAGTCCCCCACAGGGCTGGTAGCTGGTGACAGGTACCCTGCTGATGTCGTTCTCCCAAGTCCGTTTGCTCTGCTCCCCATCCTATGGGAGCTTGCTCCACTACCCAGTATTTGGTTGCATGCCAGGGAAGGTTGAGCAGACCCTAAACATGCCTTGCTGGTGGTTTTCTCTTAAAGGCTGGACTGAATAAGCCAACCAAAAGGAAACCCTGATGCTCAGCATGCCGTACTTCTGACAGCTGTATGAAAGATTCTGTAGTTTCTTACTGGATGAGCCAAGAATAATTTGCTAAGCAGCCAGATCTGTACATTGCATATAGGCAAGATTCAATGCAACAGTTTAACAATGGAAAACCAAAGACATGGTTAATGAAAAGCTTAGGTCATCAGTTGTCTATAGCGAGCTTTGCATTGGTGTTCCTGAAATGCAAGCTGCAGGAAGTCTGCTTGCTAATGTCCACATCGCTTCAGGCATCCCCAGAACACCCGCAGAATGTGTAACAGGAGCCTGTTGTGGAAGATAGTACTACAGGGTGTTTTTCTGGACTACGGTAGCTCTTGTTCTTGCACAGCTGAAATAAAACATCCAGAGAGCCCGGGCATTCCCAGTGTGTTTACTGTCTCCATTGGAAACCAGACTGGCTTTCTCATGAATATTCATGGCAGACAGAAGGCATGTACCCAATAAAGACAGCTGCTGGAGGGGCTTGGTGACACCAAGTAGGGTTTTTTTTTTTAAGGATAGTGACATTCAATTCCCTGCTTTTGTTATCTGCTTTGTAAAGTTATACAACAGCCTTCCCATCTTCCCTATGTTTTGGTCTACAGCTCCCAGCATTCTTGCTCATTGGTAATGCTGGCTGGGGCTGATGGGAGTCAAAGTCCAAAATATCTGCAGGACACCAGATGAGGGAAGGCCAGTATATCTTTTTAGGACTTAATAAAAACACATTTTGTGAAATATTAACCTCAGGCTCACATGCATGCAAGCACATGTGTACACACACACTTACATTTCTGCTGTAGGCCAGTGACTTTTAAATATTATTGCTTTCCAGACAAGATGCAGACCAACCACTGCCTGCTTTGTTTAAAGCAGACCTGTGGCCCTAGAGATTTGTGCAGCATTTAGCCTAATTTCATGCATCACTCAGCCTAATTTCAAATGCCCTCTGAATACAATCAGTTCAGACCTCTGGAATGAGAGATTTCCACCTTGCTTTGCAGCAGCCAGCTACATGGGAAGGAAGGGGGAAAGGAAAAAGGGTGGCAGAAAGAAAGGGAAAGAGCCAGCCACTTCTGGCTTTGGCCCTGTCCATCATCTGTTTTACGGTGGTGTCAACATGCAGCTCCTGACAGATTATTTACGAAGAAATGTGGACCCTGAAAGAAAAAAGACATGTGTGCCCCGGCAGCATGAGGTGATAAGACTGGGCTGGTGCCACTGTGTGGTAGATCATAGCATCAGGCCTTAAATGAAATTATATTACAAAATAGTTTGAAGCTGAGGCTTTGAAATAGGGCGATAATTTTCAGCCCTGCAAATGCTTAGGGCCAAGATACTGGCCATTGTGTCATGATCGTGTAGGATTCCGTGTTATTTACGATGCACTCTTGTTATGTTTGCCTACACATGTGAAGGCCTGGAAAACACGGGGGAAGGACCATGTGTGTGGTGTGAAGTGAAAAAGAAATGAAAGCTTTCCATCACTTTTTCCCCCTGGAAACTTTGGAAATTTTGCGGAACACCCCCTCCTATTTTTCCCTCAAACTTTCATATCTCTCAGCTTGCTTGCCAATCTTTTTAATTATTATTTTGCTCCTACTCCTTTGCACTTGGGAGTATCCTGACATATTTCAGTTCAGTCAGAAGCAACTTTCCCATCACTGTCTCCGTGCAGGAAAAGTTTTACTGGCTAAATTTCTGTGCAACTACGTGACACCAGAGACACAGAAATAAAGTTTAAAATATAGTACCATCAACTCCCCTTACGCAGCATTTTATCTGAACTATCATTATAAGGCTGTGATTGGAAACCACCAGAGACTTTGTACAATATGAGCCCTGGCAAAGGCCCAGTATGAGTGGCAATACAAGAAGAAAGAATGTCTTTGCTTCTGCATTTGTTTCCAGTGATTTATGTGTGAGCCGTTAAAACGTTTTGGACTCCCTATTAAACTGAACTGATTTATGAGTGGAAATAGCATGCTGGATGTACAATACACTCCAGTTCATCAGAAGGTCAGTGAACGGTGATACCAAATGAACAATGGAAATTCGGTTTTCTGTTGTTTTTGGTTGGGCTCCTTCTAGCAAATCTAATCTTGGTCACTAGAGGGTGGTCTAGGGCAAAGTATACAGTGGTCAGAAAGCACCACAGTGAGTGACTTTCTTTCATTCCTCTATCCCCAAACATCAAACATTCTTCTGTCCCCAAACATCAAACATTTGCAAGCATGTCTTTAAAAAATCAGTTAAAACCTTATAACATGGCAAGCAGAAATGAAGAGTCAATGGTGTCCAAATAGGATGCAGAGGATTGTATCCAATGTTATTTCTGCTTAGAGAACACACAGTGAAATGAATGGGACTTAAATTAGACTGATATTGGATACATCCCTGATTGTCCCACTTTTCTTTTGGTAACTCAACCAATTCCTCTTGTTCCTTCTGGAAATTGTTTTAACAGTCAGTCTCCTCCTGATGCTATTACAGCACTGCGATTAGCCTAAGAGTAGCCATGTTGAATTATGGAGGTCCAAAGCAAAAGTAGACCTATGTAGCAAAGCAATGATGCGCCTGTTTCACAAAAAAGTCTAAGGGGTAGCTTTGAGAAATGAGTATGGCATCTGGCTTCTTAGGTGCGCTATCTGAAAATCATGCTCATACTTTCAACTGCTTTGTGGAAACAAGTAGTTTTTGAACGTTTCATGAGCATACGCTCATACATCCAGGATGCACTCTGTTCCAGGTGCCTCTGCAAAGGGAGGTAACAAAGGTGGCTACTGAGGAAAAGGTCCTTTTTGGTGGTGGCATTCTGGCTGTGGAATGCTTTCCCCAGACAGGCTGGACGTCCGAGTTGTCATCTCAGCACAAGGTGTAGGCCCCTCTCTTTTCCCCAGGCCTTTAAACACTTAATACACATAAAACATAAATCAGCCTTTAAAATAGGCTTGAAACCATCTTTTTCTTTGCTGCTGGAACTTACATGTGCTATATTTGTATTATTTTTGTTCTTATGCTTTGTAGCTGTATTTTAAATATAACCTTCTCAGAAACCATGACTGTTGTGCACCAATTAAATGCTGTTAAAAATAAATAAATACAGCAGAAGGAAAATTGCATCAGCAGTGAGGAGAGAATTAGCTTCTCTCATATTCTGACAAAAAATATTTTGTCCTTATAGCTGGACAGGGAAGCAGCTGTTTGATGAGACACAGAAGACTGAATCCTCATATTTGAGACTTATGGCTGTTTTTTTCCATTCCCAAGAATATTGGGTTGATCATGAGTGAAGCAAAAATTATCCACTTTTTTCCAAAAGAAAATGGCTCTAGCTCATTGAAATCAGCATCACCTGCAGTTAGCAGTGCTGTTGTACATGGTTCTTCTGTTGTTTTCACTTCAGAGACTATATGAAAGCATCCTTTAGATTAGCCTGAGTTGGCCAACTTTTTGTGTGCAAACTGGAAATGTGGAGCCTTAGCCTGTATTATACAGTGGTGAACAATGCTGTCATATTGGAGACTCCCTACATTCCTACCAGAAACCACCAGGCTTAATAGGGACATTAAGAGTCTCCATAATATGGGATGCATCTATATGATAAACATATTCTATAAATTATACTTGGCAAATGGAGAACTTCCCTCAGAGGTGCTGCCCTCGACAGCTTCACTGTCACATCCATCAAGATGTTTTCCAGTTGTTAGCCAGAACTTGGCAGCCAATAATCTCCTCTTGCAAAGTTCTAGACTTCATCTTTCACAAGTTATTCAAATAAATGTGAGCAGTTTAAAAACACTCCAAACAGGTTTTGCCTTGTGTCTTGAAATACAAAATCCCAAGAAGCATTTTGAGCAAAGCGTCATCAGCAAGGTTTCAACAAACTGAATCAATTGCTGTACGTACCTTCTTTGCTGAACTTGGGCTTCCAACTCTGCTTCCTTCGAGAAGGGACTTTGAAAAGCCATCGTGAGGTGAAGTTACTTTACTCATTTCATTGGACTTAGTGTTCTCCACCATCTGCATTGTTTGCCTGCCTCACCAAATGGCCGGTTGGCAAAGAAGTGCGCACCATAGCAACTTCAGCTTCTGTTTACAGTTCAAATAAACATCCATTGATTGGTAAACTTGCTGAAGCTTTCAAGAAGCCTTTCTAATTGCTTTAGCAACAAACAACTTATGATTAGGACGATATTTATTTCTCAGCAAGGCCAACCTCTCTTTTCATAGCAGAGTCCTGCAATCTGCTGGCAATATCATTTGTCAAGAAAATGGTTCGTGACAATATGCCAGGCATTTGGGGGTGTTGGCATAGTTTTCCCCCAAAGGACAAATAGCAGCCTTGTGTGGGTGGGTGATTTAAACTGGGGAAATAGTGTTGAAGAAGGAAGGGCTCGGATGCCCACGCCAGTGCCTCAGAACCAGTTGGTGGGGTCCCTCCACCAGAACCAATTAGAGTCCTTCTGGGAGGGAAATTGGGGCAGTTTCCTTGCCTCAGCAGCTGTGTGCCTGCCCCAGTCAGCATCTGCCCCAGCCTTGCCTCAAGGCTCCCCAGGACCCCCACGCGGGTGGGCACAAACAGGTCCTTGTAAAGGACAGCAGTTGGGCCCCCAACATTGCACCTGCCTCAGGCCCCATAAAACTGCAGAGCAGTCCCGCTCTACAGATAGCGATCCAGTCTGCCATTTTTCAAAGTGCATATTAAGGGCAGGTATAGCTTGGCCATATGTGGCACAACAAGAGCTTGGCCAGCCAAGTCATTTATTTTCGGAACCATGTTACTTCTGAAAATTATCATGTATGTTTTAGTAACCAGTACCAGGTTTCATGAAAGTTGATAGTGTTGTTTGAGGTGCTTGTTGAGAAGGTGGGGTGGAGAACGAGTTTTGTGTAGAAAACATTAGGCGTTCCATTTCCCGAGGGAGGGAGGGAGGGGGGGAGGAGGGGGAGGCGGTGGCAGCAGCGGAGGAGATGTTTTAGGAGTCCATGTGTGTGCATCTGGTACTTGGCAGACTCAAAAGATTACATAATTATAGCCTTCCCCCATCGGGTGCCCTCTAGATCTTTTGGACTACAGCTCCCAGCATGCCTGTTGGTTGGCTATGCTGGCCGGGGCTGATGGAATCAAAGTTCAGAACAGCAGGAGGGCGTCAGCATGGGGAAGGGGGATGAGATTCTGGTGGTCCATGCACTGGCCTGGCCTTGCTGCTTGAGACAAAGGTAAGCTTCCTCCCACCCCATCCACTGGTGGAAGCTGCACAAACTGGCAACCGCATCTTAGTTCAACTCAGGTGATGGGGCAGCATTTACTGCCATACACCAGAGAGCAGCAGGTTAGCTGAGGGGGTGCGGGGCAGGCCAAAGGGCCAGTCCGGGCAATGCAAGCCTTAAGTTATGTTGGAACAAAAATGGATGGATGGGGTCCTTTTCAAAGGCCCCGTCCCATTTGCTCTTTGACATCTAGATTGCCTTGTTCCTCCAGGAGGGGATTTATCCTCTGGTGAGCATGATGGATGGTCTTGGCGCTGTAGTACGATGCCCCTGCAAATGCTTTGACTTCCGACACACTGAGGTCAGTCTTCAAAGCACTCCCAGTTGTGCTCCGGTGACTAAGCTTGCCATAGCAAACGTGTCACTGAGGAAACATACTTTTCCCAGGGGAGGCAACATGACCTTCACAGCCTTAGAGAACGAGGCAGGATATCCGTCATAAGGACTTTCGCTGGAGTGCGATGAATGCTTGGGTTTTAAATCTGATCCCAAATGGCTAGTTGGGCTGTTGGAGAGTGAAAGGAGGCTCTAGCCTGGATTATCTGTCTGGCAGTGGGGCCTTGGCTATGACAGCCCCTCTGGGGGTGGCGGGAGCACACACATTGTACTGTTAAGCTCTTCAAATGCAGCAAACTTAGCCAGGCCCGCAGAAATCCAATTGCTGTTTTACCGCAAGAGAAGTGGCTGCCCAACTCTTCTTGCAAAAGGCCTACTGCATCATGGTTTGTAGTGCTAAGGACCCCATTGCAAACGGAGAGAAGATTGAGGGTTTCTCTGCACAAGGCATCTATTATGTGCACGTGGTTCCATTCACACAGAAGTTTGCAGGCCCTTTCCGTAGCACAGACACCCTCTGGGATCCCTTCAGTGTTTTCCAGCCACTTTTGCAGCTTTCTTTTCAGAGCTATACTGCAGATACACCAGAGTACTACCTTGTGCTTGGTTAATTATTATATTAAGGCAGAAACCCCATGTAAAGGATGCACTTTTCTTCCCACAAGGAAAATGGAGGAAAAACCTCAGTAAAGCAGCAGTTTAAAACCCTCAAGGTAGAGAAATCCCTCAGAAAATTGGGAATGTTTCAAGAGAAGGCATATTCTTGAGAAAAACAAAACAAAAAACTTATCTCTGCAAGGGTTCATCTGATACAGACATTCACATCCTCTCCACCTCCAGTCATGTTTAACTACAGTGTCTATCATCCTCAGCCATCACAGTTGTTGAGCATGCTGGCTTGGAACACTGAGTTGTGGAAGTTACAAGGCCACATAAGAGTTTAGCCCAGCCCTTTTGCAGAGGTACCTCCACAAGAGAAGGGATTTGATCCCGTATCAGATGAGGAGGGGGCTGAAGTTTCAAGACTTCAGCAGCTGCATTTGGTGGAAACGTACTGCTAGGTGGATAGTTCTGTAAACCATTCTGACCTGGTGGGAATGCAAATAAGAGAGGAACAGCCAATGGAAGAGTGACAAGAGACTGCAGATCCAGCGTTAAATGACAAATGAAGAAAAGCATGAAGTGTTCTGCCAGTCAAAGCAGCACACTGCCCAAGAAACTTCCCACGTTAATGAGCTGTTCCAAGAGCAGGGCTTGGTCAGCATGGCTAGCCTGAATGGGAAGGCTGGCACAATGGCACGTTCCTTTCATCTCAGATTTCTTCCTGCTGGCGGTTTGGCCTCAGAAGTCAGTTATGCTGGTTGCTAACAAGGCTTGAATCTTTTATAGCCCTTGTGTGTAATATGACCGACTACATAGTCAGAAGCGTGACTCAGAGCCTTGCTTTAGGATTAGTTTGAAGGCCAGAACAGGCATTGCTTTAAATCCATATATAACAGCTACGACTTTTAAATGTTTTCCTCTAGACTAAGCTCGTGTTAGGGTTCCAATCCACTGGGCTCCCATGCACCTACTCAAGAGTAAAACTGAAAAAAGACATGCAGATTTAAAATAATTTCTGCTTTGGACCCAAGATCTCTTGGGGACAAAAGCAAAGATCACGTAGAACCTTACTACGTTGGGCAGAATTAATTATATTTGTGTTCATTATTTCACCCATATCTGAATCAAGTGCTTTAAGCCCAGTGCTCTTGTTTGCTTTTAAGGAGTTGTGGCAATTTGAAATGCAGAGCTTGACTTCTTGGGGAACCAAGGGAGTCTGTCCCCTTATTTGTCCTTGCAACCCTCCTTACCTAGTGTTATTAGGAAGCTGTGAGGGACCCATGATCTGGCTAAAATGTTGGGGGACAAGTGAAGGGAACGTGTATGGTTAATTGAAATTCCCCTCTTGTTTCCCCAATAACTTGAGCATCCCTGACCTGAAGCCATCATCTCAATCAGCCCATAAGCATGACTAGGCAACTTGTGGCCTTACAGATGTTTTGGCCTACCACCCCCAGCACAGCTGGGGAGATCTTGGGAGTTGTAGGCTAGAGCATTTGGAAGACCCATGGCTACCTGCCCCTGCCATAAAGGGAGACAACCCAGATATTACAGCTGCTGCTTAGGGCCCCAACCATGCAGTGATTATGGCGGTTCTTATGACAGCCCCGCACAAGCTATGACCCAATAAGGCAAACACAGCCCACCAACAGCAAATAACAGCTGACTAGGGACTCAATAAATCTCTAGTTTTTACTACCTATCTGAAACTTTGGGAACTGCCCAGAGAGCTTCAGCTATTGGGATGTATAGAGATTAAATAAAATAAACTGCAAAACCAGGAATGGTGTCCAGCAGTTGGCAGCCAATGGCACATGGTGAACTGCGTTTAGCTGGGTGAAGCACAGAGATGTTCTGATTTTGGGAAGGGATGCTGTGGTAAGATGGGTGGAAACAATTTGTGTTCTGCAAGAATTGGATCTCCCCAAACATCATGGGAGTACGTGAGACATTCAAAGCGTCCAAGTGATAAAATCTAGATGGGGAAACAACAGAAGAGTAAGAAGGATGAATTGTCTCATGGCTTTAGAGCACCTTTTATGGTGCAGTTACGCACAATGAAGGGTTGTTGATACTGAGTGCATGCTATCTCAGTACATAGTCCTAAGGTTGTGGATATTTCGACATGGCCCAAATAAAGTGATTCAGGCATCATGTCTTCAGAAACAGCATAAAGGATCATATAGTTGGTTTGCCTGTCACATCTGTAATCTGCTCTTCTGAGGAGCTCATGATATGCCTGTGTCTATGTACATATGCACAGATTAACATCACACTATGTAAGGATAAAATGCTTACTTAAAATGCAGTGGAATGAGGCCCTACTGACACTTCCAATGTAGATGCCATCTTGAATCAATACTTGTACAGATATGTTGTTGGCCTTTGTTGAGGTTTATGTGTAACTGATATAGTCAGATCTATAGAGACAGCTATGCATATAGTCGTTTCTCTTTTATGGTTTTGCTTTGTTAAACTTAAATTTTATTTATTTATTTAAAACATTTGTGTGCTGCCCGATTGTGCCACAGCACCTCTGGGCGGCTCACAACACGAGATAAAAACACAATAAAAACATAATAAAAACCATAATGCATTAAAAACAACAATAAAATATAACAAAACATACAAAACAAAGGTCTAGGGTAGCGGTCCTCAAACTTTTTCAATAGTGGGCCAGTTGAAAGGCGGCGGCTACACGCGCGGGCCGGTGAGGAGGGGAGCCTGGGCACGCGGGCCGGTGAGGTGTTG